CCCCATCCCTTGGCCTTCACCAAAGTACCGTCTGTGTCCATGGAGTACGCGTATTTGTTCTTAGCCCTATTGTTATGTGAGAGATCACTTTGAGGATAATCTGGGTAACGATTAGACAAAAAGACCTCTCTGTGCTATTTTAATTTTTTCAAACTTTTTTGGGGGTCTATAATTATTTTAAAATAGAAAGTTAGAAAATGTATACGTGTATATGTGTGTGTATATTGTACATTAGCATATAGCACAGCATATTAGTATTAGTAGGCAGTAGATATGTTGTGTATATATGCAACATGGTACATTGTAACGTGGTCGGGATCACATCTGAGAGGTGGAATGCTCTCATCTTCGTTGCATGCCTGGTAGAGAAGGTCACGGATCTGTCTCTGTCTTTCCCTGGTCATTTATCACATGAAATATTGGATCTAGAGAGTGTAACTCCCAAACCTCGTGGTAGCTGATGGCTTCAATCATTTAATCTTTCACCAAGGGGGCGTCAGCAGCAGAAAATAAACTCATTTTTAAAATCATGTTGTCTCGTCTCACGACCTAGAAAAGTGAGAAAATGCCAAAAGCGAGGCGCAAAGAAGAGAGGTAAAGGGCAAAGACATCTGCTTCTGTTTCTGCTGCGTTGAGCACCCGGACTGGGTGGTTACGTCCTTGTCATTTTGATTCTTGTCAGAGTGAGTTCCTTTGCCCTGAGAACTCAGGTTGCGTAAACCAGAGAGGTGGACGTAGGGAGCACGTCAGAAGGGAGTCCAGGACTTGGGCCGACTGGATGAGACCCTGAAAGGAGGCAGGGGACCTGCTCATCCCCGCGCTCAGGAAAGGCCCTGGGCCCTCTGCGCGGGGCCCTCGGTGGGCAGACTCGGACCTCCCGGCGCTCGCCTTCCCGGCAGCAGGACAGAGGCCACCAGACAGCTGGCCGTGCTCTGCAGCACCAGGTAGCAAAGGATGTCGAGAGGAAAGCGAAGAGAGGTGAAGGTGTGCAGCTGAAGAGAAGGCAACGTTTGATTCTTGGGGTGATACTGCTCTTCGACCAAGGGGGAGCTGGGGGTGCAGCCGTCATGAACTCAGTAGGTTAGAGAAGCGAAGAGCGCACGCGGTCAGCCTAGAGCCGCGTCAGCGCGAGGAAGCTGGTTGCTGTGTCTTGTAATTTGAATTCTAGTTAAAGTTAGCCCATTTCCCCCCACTTTTTCTTCCGCTGGAAGTGTTTTGATTTTCACCCTTAGTTTGTATAGCAGCAGCCGCAAAAATGTGCCTGTCCTTTGACCCCTAACACAATGATTCTTAAACATGTTGGACCTGGTGCCCTGTATTTTATTTATTAATCCTAACCCAAGGACATGTTCATTGATTTTGAGGGAGGGGAAGGGGGAGAGAGGAAGAGAGAAGGAGAGAGAGGAAGGGAGAGAGAGAAACATCAATGTGAGAGAGAAACATCCGGACCTGGACTAGGGATCGAACCTGCAACTTAGGTATGTGCCCTGACTGAGAATTGAACCTGTGATCCTTTGGTATACGGGACAACTCTCCAACTGAGCCATACCAGTCAGGGCTGATGCCCTCTTTTTTATAAAAATATTTTGTTACGCCCCTTTTACTATCCTGAAATGAAATCATAGATGATATAAGTCTTTTAGAGGCATAATTTCAAGAAATCAAGACAACACTTCAAAGAAACAAAGGAAAGTAATTTATAATCTCATAAGCCCTAACAATGCCACATAGAATTAGTGTGGCAGCCTCAGATATAGACTGAAGCCAGAGGTATGGACCAGTCCCAAGTGGGAACATCGTACCAGCCTGCATGTCACTGGCCTAAAGTGAGTCCTGGGGCCACCTCTGACTTCAGGGCTCCAAGGGGTGTAGTCCTCCCACAGGCCTGGGATGGGGAGAGCCTGAAAGCTTTGGTGTAACTGAGTGAGGCTCTGGGCTGTCGGTCTGCTGCTTGTGTTTGACCATGTGGCATTTGGCAGGACACTGGATGTGACACTGAGAGCCCGGGATTGCACACCTGGCTCTGCCCACCACTGCCAGGAAAGCTTCCCGAGGCACTTACACCTCGAGGAGCTACCAACATCCCTTGTCCTTCGAATAGGCAGGGTGGCCTTTACAAAAACCTCTGTGTCAACTGATTCATGCATTTATTCTTAAGTAATAACCAAAAAGGGGACAGTGCTCTTTGTCCGATTGTATTGATATCAAGGTTATTAGTGACACTATGAAATTGGAAACAACCTAAATATCTAACTGAATAGAAATGTTTAATTACTTAGGATTTTTTCCAAATAAAAGATATTATATGGCCATTAAACAGATAGATAGAATCCGAAACAGCAATGTGAACCAAAAATACTACTTATGATATCCTGCTGATCAAAAGCATATACACTTTATAGCATCTCTATACAAAACATGAACGTATATGAGACAAAGAAGGAAACGCTCTCACAACATTGGTTTTGTGGGAGAATGAATCAGCTCTTCATTGCTGTGTAACAAACCATCCCCAAACAACAGGCAGTTGTTAGCTCACGGTTCTGTGGGTCGGCAGTTTGGGCCAGGTCGCCAGTGCGATTCCTGGTCGCCAGTGCGATTCCTCACTGGCCTCGCCTGGGCCACTCACACCAGGGCAGTAGCTGGAGGCTGGGGGACAGGTTGGTCCAAGGTGGCTTCTCTGACCTGTCAGCAGCTGCTGTCATCAGCCCGGCCTGACTCTGCCACAAGCTAACCACGAACATCTTGAACAAACCAGGAAAAGCATGCAGTGTTTTCAGCCCAAATCACAACTTTAAAGAGAACGAAGGAGGAGATTGATGGAGATGTTTTTACATGTACGTTTTAATGCTCCACCCCCAAGGCCTAATCAGCCATAGACTATCAGAGGCAAAAAAATAACAAAACAGACCAAGCATCTGTCTGGTCCAGGGAAGGCAAGTTGGTTTTATCGCAATTGTCAGCTGAAATAAGTGGCACTGGGACCAGCACTAGAGGTTGGTGTCTCAAGAAGGAGAGAGATGTGTCATTACCTCACTGGCCACGTTGGAAGGGACTGAGGGTGGATGGTAAGTGCCACCCATTTGGCACTGGGGGGAGGGGGCCCCTGGAAGGAGGAGGTCTCATATTTGGTTCCTTTCGAGGAGTTTACTAGAAGCCGCTAGAGCTCATCTGGCTGCAGTGTGTGAAGACACTGGCATTTTGTACTTTTTTGACAGATGACTGACAAATGATCAACTCTGCCCGCAGGTTGTGGTGCGGGAACTGCTGGCTCAACACACCAAGCAGTATGAAGAACGACTGCTCGCTGGCCTGCTCCGAAGCTGGGCTGAGGCTGGGGGCGACAGGCTCAGAACCAGGTACGTAACTGCTCAGGCTGTCACCTCCTTGGCCCTCAGTGTCTTATTATTGAGCCTGAGAGCACAGAGCCTTGTCATGGCACAGCTCACTTGTTTGAAATGTTTACTATTTGATATATATTCAAAAATACACAAATACGGAAAATTAACATTCATGCCCCCACTCCCCAACTTAAGAACTGTGACAATGCTAATTCTGTTCCTTCTTTATTGCATGTTCACTGTTCCAAGCACTTTATAGGTTTTAATGATAACCACATGAGGTAGGTCATTATTTCCATTTCCCGGATGAGGAAACTGAGGCTCAGAGGTTAAGTATTTTGCCCAAGGTGGCACACTAATGAATGGTAGAGCTAGGATTTGAACCCAGATCATCTGGCTTCAGGATCCATGCTTTTGGTTGTCTTTATTGATTTTTTTTTTTTTTTTTAGTATTGGCTTTACACTTGATAAATAAGGCCTAATGTATATGGAATTCTGTGGCTTCCTGCTGTTGCCCAGTATTTTGTTTCTGAGATTCATCCAAGCTGTTAGGTGCAGCTGAAGAGCTGTTCTCTTCTCTCGTTACACTTCACCATGTGTATACAGCATAATTTACTTACCATTCCCGTCTCCAGTGGACATTTGGGCTGTGTTTATGATATTTTGCATAAAGCTCTTATGAAAAATCTTGTCCGTATTCTCCGGGGAAATGTGCGAGAGTTTCTACAGGGCTTTCACATTTAGCTGCCATGACTCAGAGAAAGATCTACATTTTACATCACATCGACACCCACACACGCATCGAGCACCCCTCCCAAGAGGCACAGCTGAAGCAAACACTTCATGGCACGATGCTTATCCTGTCGTTCATACTGCTTTCTGATAGTTTTAAATTTTTAAAAATTCTGATCTCAGTCCTTTAAACTGATTTCATGACTCATCAGTGATTTTCAGCCTGTTGTTTGGAAAACGCTCCTCAGCAATATGCATTGCCTCGGAGTCAGACGGCTGTGGGGTGGGGTGTGCCATTGTTAGCCTCGCCAGAGAGTGCCCCGTTGCTTTGTAACATGATTGTACAGTTTGTACCCCACCAGCAGCATGTGTCCTGTGAAACCACGTCCGCACCAATGCGTGGCTTTACTGGACTTAATTTTTGTCTATACGTGTAAGGAAAGTTCTCTCACTGATTTTCAATTGCAGTTTTCTTGTTACCCTGGAGGTTGAGCGTGCCTTCATGTGTTTATTGCCATTTATGTTTCTTCTAATGTGAAATGCCAGCTTATGTGTTCTGCCAGCTTTTCTATTTTTTTTGTCGGAGGGGGAAGAGAGGGGGAGAGAGAGAGAAAGAAACATTCATTCGTTGTTGCACTTATTTCTGCCTCACTGGTTGCTTCTTGTATGTGCCCTGACCAGGGATCGAACCTGCAACCTTGGCCTATGGGGATGATGCTCTAACCAACTGAGCTACCCGGCCAGGGACCTTGGTCTTATTCTTACTGACTTTTAGGGGTTCTTTGTCCTTTGTTGTTTTAGATGTTACAGTTACATTTTCCAGGTTTGTGGCTTCTCTTACGTTTTCTTTATGGTGTCCTTTTTTTTTAATAGCCTCACTCGAGGATATGCTTTTATTGTTTTGAGAGAGAGAGAGCGAGAGAGAAACATTGACGTGAGAGAGAAACATCAATTCGTTACCGCCCATACACACCCCAGCCGGGGATTGAACCCACAGCTTAGCTTTGTGCCCTGACTGGGATTCAAACCCGCAACCTTTTGGTGCACGGGGTGATGCCCCAACCAACTGAGCCACTGGCCAGCGCTCTTTATGGTGTCTTGATTAACAAAAATTCTTACATTACAATTAAATTTACCAGTTTTTTTCTTTTATATTCACACTTTCTACATCTTGTCTACTTTTAGATCATGAAGGATATATATTTTTTAAGTTTGAGAGTTTAACCTTTCACATTTAATTTTTGAATCTATTAGAAGTTTTTGTCTGTGGTGTGAGGAATGGATCTGTTTCATTTTTTCGTCCCTTAGGGCCCGTTTGTTGTCCCAGTACCATTTCCTGAATTGATTACCCTTTCCCAGTAATCTGCATTGCCTCTCTGGACTTTATTAAATTCTGCATGTGGAGTCTATTTGGGGCTATTTTGTTCCTAGTCTGTCTGCATATCCTTAATCCAACAATACACTGTTAAAATTACACTAGATTTAAAATATGTAATATTATATAACAGATATATGATATAATATATCTGAAGTATAATTCAGAGTTGTCCTGGCTATTCTGGGTCTTTTGCACTTTCATATAAGCTTTGGAATCATTTCAAGAAGTTCCTTAAAAAAACAACCTGCAGACAGACAGGAAAGGACAAATACTGTACGACTGCACTTCTAGCAGGTGTCTAGAGGGCTCAAATCCGTAGGGACAGAAAGCAGGTGGTGGTTGCCAGGGCTGGGGGAGGAAGGACTGGGGCCATGGTTTGATGGGGACAGTGTTTCAGTTTGGGAGGGTGAAAAGCTTCTAGGGGTGGATGGAGGTGATGGCTGCACAGCAGAGTGAATGTACTTAATGCTACCGAACCGCACACTTAAAATGGTTAAAATGGTAGATTTCATGTTCTGTATATTTTACATAATTTAAAAACTCTGCTGGGATTTTCTTTGCAAGGGTATTGAATCTATAGATTTGCATAAAAATGGACCTATTTGTGAAATGATCTTCCTCGAAGATTTTAATTTCGTGTCTTCCGGAGTTTTAGAATTTTCTCCATGTGTGGTACAACCTTTCGTAGATTTATTACTAGGTGCTTTATAATTTTGTTGCTATAGAAGGAATATTTTTAACTTTTGTTTTTTGTTGCCAGTTTATTGTAAATGCAGTTGACCTTTGCGTATAAACTTGAGTGTAAATAAACTTTCCCTAAGTGCGTCTCCAGATTCATTGTGGGGTTTTTCCTCCTAGGCAGTCATACTATCTGCAAATAATAATTTCTTTTTCCTTCCTTCCCAGTTGTCATTCTTTTTATTTTTTATTTTTGGTATAAAAGGTGCTCTTTTGTCTTATTCCTGGTTTTAAAAAGAATTAGTTTAATATTTCACTATGAAGAATATTTGTTGAACATTTTATAGACACCTTAGTTCATTAAACAAGCTCCATTGATTGTTATTTTTAATTGATTTTTAGAGAGAGAGGAAAGGGGAGAGAAAGAGAGAAACATGGATTTGATGTTCCACTGATCTATGCAGTTGTTGGTCGATTCTTGTATGTGCCCTGGCCAGGGATCGAACCCGAAACCTTGGTCTATCGGGACAATGCTCTAACCAACTGAGCTACCGGGCCTTGGCCCATTTATTGTTCTTTTTAATGTGTTTTTGTTATTACTAAATGATGAAAATTACTGCAAATAAATTTTTTGCATCCATTGAAATGATTTTATGATGTGTTTTCTTTAGTCTGTTCATTTGATAGGTAACCCTTGTCAATCTTTTAATGTTAAACTACCCTTGCATGCTTGAGAAACAATTTCCTTATGCTGTGTAACCATTTTTATATTTTCCTGGGCTTGGCTGGGTTATATTTTGGGGGGGGAGGTGGAGATGGGGGTTGTATATTGACTGGCATATTGTTTTCCTTTCTGGTACTTTCCTGATTTGGATTTATAGCAGGTTTTTCTGGTCTCATAAACTTATTGTGGGAGTAGTTTCTTATTCTGTGGAAGAATTTGGTAAGTTAATTGAAACCTATCTGTGCCTATGGGAACATTTAAGCTACTGATTCCATTCATTGAATTGTTTTAAGACCATTTAGGCTTTATTGTGTCAGTTTTAGTAAATGGTATTTTTCTAGGGCTTTATCCATTTGGTTTTGAATTTCTTAGTATAAGGTTCTTCATACTATTCTCTAATTATATTTTTTGCTTCCACTAATCTGTAGTTATGTCCCATTTGTCATTCCTAAAATTATTTCTGTGCCTTCTCTTCTGTGTTGTTGTATAGTTTAATCTCATCAGATGTTTGTCTAGTTTATTTTGTCTAAAACAACCGGCCTTTGCCTTCATTGATCTGCTCTGTCATACCTCTCTTTCTGACTTCATTGATTTATGCTCATAAATGGATTGTCTCCTTTATGCTACTTTCGAGGAGCTTACGTGCTTTTTTCCTTTTGTGTCTTTTTAAAATTATTACTTTTATTTGGAGGCAGATTACTGGTCTCCATAGCCCACGTGTCCTGAACTAATTTCTAAGGAAACTGCTGATTAGATAATATAATCTTACAGTCCTGATTAAAAACATGGGAAGCACATAAACGAGAGTAGTCTGGAACTTTCCGTAACTGTTGGCCTGGAGCAAAAATAAGAAATGTACATTCTGGCCCAGCCGGGTGCGGCTCAGCGGTTGAGCATCGACCTAGGATCCAGGCGATCGGGGTTCGATTCCCGGCCAGGGCACATGCCCGGGTTGAGGGCTGCAGCCGGTCAATGACTCTCTCATCATTGATGTTTCTATCTCTCTCTCCCTCTCCTTTCCTCTCTCTGAAATCAATAAAGATATATTTAAAAAAAAAAAAAAGAAAGAAAGAAATGTACATTCTGTTCTTTCCCCGTTTCCCTGCTGCTCAGATTTCTATCTGTTCAGCCTGGGCCCCTCACCAGCCCCCGCAGCCCAGGACTGTCCCACGTAGTCTCGGTGTGTGTCTCAGCGTGTGGAAGGCAGGGCATTGGCGGCCCTGGTCCCGACTGGCCGCTGACGGCGCCCGCAGCCTGGCCCCGCTTCCCTAGGCTGCGGTCTGCCGACAGAGCAGGGTGACACCAGCACGGTTTCCATCAGCGTCAGCTCCGTCCTTCAGGAGCCTCGTCCCCAGCCGGGCCGCACCTCCGCCCTCTCATTTCCTTCCCAGATAGCGGAGCAGGGCCTGTCCCCGTCACTCTGCGAGCACAACAGCCTCTCACCCACATGCAAACCCTCTGTCCCAGCACATTTTCCAGGACAGACTTGAGATGCGCCAACAGCAGTTTTCCAATTGTAAATATTTGGAAAGTTCCAGTCCATTTATTTTTGTTTCGGTTATTAACCTCCAAAACAGTACACATCTCTCTCCCACACAGTTACACTTACTGATTCAGTCTGTCTGTGTTTATCTACGTAAGTCCCCAACCTTACTTGCTCTGACTGTTACGTGTATTAAGAAAAGCCTTTGTCATCCACGCTGTGACCCGGGCCTTTCTCCAGGCATTGGCGATGCAGCGGGGACGGGCTTCTCCGCGTGGGGAGCTCACGTCCTGGTAGAGCAGCAGGGTGGCCGTCGCAGGACAACTCAGCTGAGGAGACGGGGACAGAGGAAAGGGGGCTGGGAACCTTGTGGTACCCTGAATCCCTCCAGTTAACAGCCACTGTGTGGACGCCCACGGGCCCCTCCTCTGGACAGACTGCGGGAGGAGTCACTCACTGTACCGAACAGGCTCCATGACACTAAGCGAGGGGGGCAGGGTGCGGCTCTGACACTGGGGGTTTGGAGTCGGTTTGTGCCTAAGTCTCTTAACTCCTCTGTGCCTCAGTTTCCTCGTTTGCCAAATGGGGAGATGGAAATTTCTGCCTGCTGGAGAAAGTCACCCTCTCTGTGGCACATTCTACCCTGCTCTGCCCACACCCCTCACTGCCCTCCGGCTCCTTTTCCTTAAGTCCCATTGTCTCCGAGACACATCCTGAGCTTGAGCGCCTTCTGCCCTTGGGACCTGGAGCAGGTCACCCCTCCTGGCTGGGCCGAAGCCTCTCAAACTTTACATCGGATCATTACAGTATCTACATCATAGAACTACTGAGGTCACTGACTAATTCACAGAAATAATTAGCACAGTGCCTGATACATGATGTAGTTAAGAAATAGTATTCATTGACAAATACTTTGTGACAGGTATATTTTATTCGTCATATTTGTTTATCATCATTATTGTAACACATTCCCACCAATGGTAAGTTAGGATAAACCCACTTGATGGAAGTTAGGTAGGAGATAGTGAGGAAAGACTATATAAAATGCTGAACATTACTTGTAATGCAATTGTAGTGGGAAAAAGCAGGAAACCAAATTATCTTTATACCATAAGGACCACCATGTGGGATAAACCAAGCCAAGCATTCATCAGAAAAATACTGACGGAAGCACGAATAGAGGGGGCTGTTCTGTGTAGTGACACTGCTTTTCTATTGGCAGAAAATTTCTTTTGAAAATGTAAGCCCTGTGTATTTCTTTCAGATGTACTCCTTGGTGAGGACAGATAGTAATGACGACCACTGTGTTTTTCCTTCAGTTTCCTGGCGTTGAACTTGGACACCGTCGGTAGCCTCATCTTTCTGCTGAAAGCGGTGAATTTTCGGGAAAGGGTTCTTCAGCGGGGGTTGGTGGCCAGGATTTATTACAAGGTAAGGATACATCGTGTTGTATTTTTCCTCTTGACATGTGTTTAAGGCACACTCTTACTGGTGAACTGTCTGCTAAATGTAGTGGGGGTGGAATCAGTGTAATTAAAGGTTCTGGAAGCAACTGGACTTCCTACGGGCCCCTTTGCGTGACTGCCTGCCTGCTCTGGAGGCCCGTAGGCTGTAGGGTGACCCTTCTGCGCCCATCTTTAGGATTCCACCTGCCAGCATCATCTGGCTGCTGTGGGAGTTGATGAATGGAGTAATTTTTGGCCCTTACTGGAATTGAAAAATCCTTGTTTCTATGTATAATGACTGCATTGTTCTGTGGAGGGTAAGTGCTCCAGGCATATGTAGAAATTAACCACTGGATTAGCCTGAGATGCTCTCTTTCCTATTTAAACACCCACAACTCTCTGCAAAGACGTAACCTTGCCTCAGCGTTGATCTACAGGGAATGTTCACCAAGGACGGTGCCCGTGGGGCTGCTTTGAGAAAACACCCCCATCCCAGCAACATCTGTTTTAGCTTCTAATCATAACACTTAATAGACAACAAGACCCGAGAGGAAGTTTTGCTCTTCCCAACCTCTGCCAGGCTCGGGGCCGGGGCTCTTGTAACCTGGAACCAGACCACTGTGACCCTCTGTGTGGGAGTTAGGTTCTGAGAGGGCCAAAATTGGGGCTCCACGTGACTCTCCTTCAGTTTCATACCGATTCCAAGATCACAGCACAGAGTACACAGAGGGAGCAAGATGCGTGGCACATGGGGATGGATATTCCCTTAGGAAACGCTCTGGAGGCAGGGCACCCCTGGGCGGAGAGTGGTCAGGATCCAACCTGGTGGAACGGGGCCAGGCTGATCAGCACCTGTGGGGAAGCGGGCCAGGGTGGCGCAAAGCAGGCCATCCTCCACGCACAGGCCCGAGGTGAGGCCCTGCCCGGTGCCACCCTGCAGGTGGGTTTAAGTCCCTCCAGGTAACCCGCCCTTATCAAACATGGAGACGGTGAAGTGAGCGAAGGGTGCAACCAAAGGCAAAAATGCTATAGCTGCCCCGGGAGCAGAATTAACAATGGACAAACTGTAATCTATGAACCCGCTTTCCAGGACTGTGCCAGGTTAATGATGGCGTGGTGAGAGATTATAGTGGACACAGAGTGAAAGTAGTAAAAAGCCAAGCTGTGGATAACAAATGCTCCTGAAAATGCTGGAACAAAAGGAGCAAAAATAATAACCACAGATGTCACAGAAAATTTTTTTCCTTAGTGTAAAAAAAGACATCAAGATTTTGATGGGGAGGGAAATGTCCATATCCAGACATAGCCTGCAAATCTAGAGAAAAGATATTATCATATAAGCAACCAGGCAGAATGTAATAGAAGGCTTACCCACAAAGAGAAAATCAGGCTAGCTTCCGTTTTTATGCACCAGCCCCAAATGGAGAAACTTCATGATCTGAGCATACTAGGCCAAGCCAGATTTAATCCATGAGTACAGGCAGATGGATGTTTTCAGGTATCTAGGAATCAGAAGCAATTTCATCCTTTTGGCCTTCCTTAAAAATCATTCAAAGAGCTATTCTATAAGACACTAAAAAAAAAAAAAAAAAAAAAAAAAAAAAAAA